GACTGGCTTCAGTAGAAGCTGCTGGGAGTCCCAGCAGCTTCTACTGAAGCCTTCCGAGTAAATCGCCAGAACGCCGACACCTCCTCATCTCCACCGCTCCCATGTTTTATTTTGTGTTGGCATAAGTTAGTCTCTCTGCGTTTCTGCGCTGGGCTAATGCTAATGCTAATAATGCTAATGCGAGGATAATAAAATGGCGGCTTCACAAAACTTTTTGGGAGTTTTACGGGGCGTGGTTTGCAATCCGCCCAGCCAATCAGAAATATAGCTCTTTTCTCACAAAAGAGCCGCTCGAAAGTCCCTGCTCTCTAGCAGGGACTTTCGAGGGGGTAAAAATGTTCACATGAACTAATTTTAGTACCGGCTCTTTTTGGTGTGAACGCGATAAAAGAGTTCACATGAACCTTTGTGGGAAAAGTACCGCGGTGTGAATAGGCGCATTCACACTGCGGTACTTTTCCCACAAAGGTTATAAAGAGTATTTTTTCTTCAAGAATGTTCTTAGTATGATACAAATTACCTATTGTTTTTGACAGTTTAGTCTGTACATAATTTATATGGTGCTTCCAATTGAGTTTTTCGTCAACAAGCAGTCCTAAAAATGTACATGCACCAACTTTTTCTATCTTGGTATTGCAAATCCGTATAATGCAGTCATTTCTACTCTCAGACTTTGCATTGAATAACATGTAATTTGTTTTGGCCACATTAAGAGATAATGTATTAACTGCAAAACAGTTACATAGTATTTCTAATTCTGCATTCACAATTTTAACAAGATCGCCAAGATTATGATGGGAGCAGAGAATTCAAAGTTCAGGTTCGGCCTCAATATATTTGGGGAGAATTAAAATGAGCCGTCTTTATTTGTAGACAGCCAAGCCCCCTGCTGTGTTCGGTGAAGCATTATATGCTTAAAATTCCAATGTAGGATATAAACACAACTAAACTGCAATGATAGCAAAGCTGTGGCTTGTGTTTTTGGGGTAATAAAGTCCAATTCATCATTGGGCTATCAGCCAATGAATGACGTCTGAGGAAGATGAAAAATGTAAATTAAACATTGTTGAGAAAATGCTGCATCTCTTGCATTTATTGACATAGAGGAGCCTTATTGTTTACCTTTTTAATATCATTTTTTTGTAATTTTCAATTGCTTGGTTTTCGTGAAATTAGCCTGTTTTCCTATTAAAGTGTAACAGATTGAAGGCTTCGGAATCCCCCCCATTGTAGTTAAAAAACTGTAAAAACTAGGGCCCCCAAACAACATCTTGCATAGGGCCCCCAAAAAGCTAGAAACGGCCCTGGGTATAACAGCTTGTACAGATTCACACTATTGGTCAACTAATGTTTGCAGCATAAATATATATTAAATATATTTGTTGCATTACTTTATCCATAACACCGCCTAAACAATTCTGAGGCTTTTGTCCTCTGACAAAATCAACATGCAGTTAAAGGATTATTAGTTTGTCTTGTGTCAGAGTTTTTTTTATAACTAAGGCAATAATGTGCCCTACTTCTCAGACTGAACAGAACAATACTTTGCCATCAAACTATCATTTCAGGATCACAACCATTCAACAAAGGCTCTTTATTTGTACTTAGTTTTTTTTTAGAAACTTGTTACGGTGTGCAGGAAGCAAATGCAGATTTAAGTGACAAAATAATTCCTTTATTTCAAGGCTACAATATTCAGAGACAGAACAGAACACTCACAACACAAGACGAACCGACACTGAACACAGGAAGAGACAAGACTAAATACCGGAAGGGGTAATCACAAGACGAGACACAGCCGGGCAGGGGAGGAGAAACACAAGGGTCACAGGTGAAAACAATCAGACAACTAGACACACCAGAGAAACTAAACGACGGGAGGAAAAACACAGGAAGAAGGACCAGACAATATACAAGGATGAAAATACCCATAACCAGACATACAAAACTACAACACAGACAGATCCTAACAGTACCCCCCCCTCAAGGGACGGATCCCAGACGTCCCAAAACAAAACCACAAAAAGTCCAAAACCACAAGCAGGGTGGGTGGAGGGGGTCCGGAGGAGGGACGTAGGCCACCAGGGTAGGTGGAGGGGGACCGGAGGAGGGACACAAAACTAGGGCCAACAGGGTGGGTGGAGGGGGTCTGGAGGACGGGCTTGGGCTGACAGCCCAGGGGCACGGCAGAGCTTGAAAAGGGGGTTATGGAGGGGCGAAGGCAGTTGCAGGAAGAGTCAGGGGGTCGGGCCCGAGGGCGAGGACCGCGGCACTCAGGGGGCAGGGCTCGAGGGCGAAGACCGCGGCTCTCAGGGGGCCGGGCTCTCAGGGGGGCCGGGCTCGAGGGCGAAGACCGCGGCTCTCAGGAGGCCGGGCAGAACCCGGTGTCGGCCGGACAGGAACCGGCGCTGGTGGGACAGGCCTCGGCAGGATCCCCCACGGAAGAGGACCAGGAGTTGGCAGGACCCCACCAGGAGGGCAGTCGGCGGGACCCCCAACGGGACAGGACACAGGATTGGCAGGACCCCCGGCAGGAGAGCAGCCGGCGGAACCTCCAACAGGACAGGACACAGGGTTGACAGGACCCCCGGCAGAAGGGCAGTCGGCGGGACCCCCAACGGGACAGTACACAGGGTTAGCAGGACCCCCGGCAGGAGAGCAGCCGGCGGACCCTCCAACAGGACAGGACACAGGGTTGACAGGACCCCCGGCAGAAGGGCAGTCGGCGGGACCCCCAACGGGACAGTACACAGGGTTAGCAGGACCCCCGGCAGGAGAGAAGTTCACGGGACCTCCAACAGGACAGGACACAGGGTTGGCAGGACCCCCGGCAGAAGGGCAGTCGGCGGGACCCCCAACGGGACAGCACACAGGGCTGGCAGGACCCCCGGCAGGAGAGTAGTTCGCGGGACCTCCAACGGGACTGGCCATGGAGCCGGAAGGACCCCCAGCGGAACCTCCATCGGCATAGGACATGGGATTGGCAGGACCCCCGGCAGGAGAGTAGACGGCGGGACCCCCAACGGGACAGGACATGGGATTGGCAGGACCCCCGGCAGGAGAGTAGACGGCGGGACCTCCAACGAGACAGACATGGAGTTGGCAGGACCCCCAGCGGAACCTCCAACGGACCAGGACATTGGATATGGACTTGAGACGTGACTCAAGTAGGGACTCGAGAGGAGACTCGAGAAGGGACTCGAGAGGGGAATCAAGGGGGAACTGGAGAGGGGACTGTGGCAGCTGGGGCCGGGACCATGGCTGCTCGGGCCAGAACTGGGGCTGAAACCATGGCTGCTGGGGACTGTACTAGGTCTGGAACCATGGCTGGAAATATGGCTGTATGATCCAGTTCTGAAGCCGGAAACATGGCTGTATGGGCCGGCTCTGGAGCCGGAATTGAAGCCAGAATCATGGCTGTAATGTCCAGTTCTGAAGCCGGAAACATGGCTGTAACGTCCGGTTCTGAAGCCGGAAACATGGCTGTAAGGTCCGGTTCTGAAGCCGGAAACATGGCTGTAAGGTCCGGTTCTGGAGCCGGAAACATGGCTGTAAGATCCCGTTCTGAAGCCGGAAACATGGCTGTATGGGCCGGTACCTGAGTACGAGCTGGCTTCCTGACCTTGCGTCTTTTAGAAGTCTTTTGGAGGCTCCGTGGACCTCCAAACGCCAGGCGGGATCCCAAGAAAGGGTCAGAGAATGGAGACTGGCACTCAGGGCTGCGTGAGAAAACTCTGAGAAACTCAGGCAATGAGCCTCTCAACCATGGCATGTTGTCCACCTCCATTTGTGCCTTTTTGAGGACAGCCTCTTTGTTCCTTTTAGCCAAGGTTCTACTCCATTCAGCATAATGACACTGAAGAGTGTACTCCAGGGATAACAAGTCCAAATCAAAATGAAAATCCGCTGGGTCCATTGTGGGTCGGTTCGTAATATTACGGTGTGCAGGAAGCAGGACCCAAATGCAGATTTAAGTGACAAAATAATTCCTTTATTTCAAGGCTACAATATTCAGAGACAGAACAGAACACTCACCGCAGTTTACTCACAACACAAGACGAACCGACACTGAACACAGGAAGAGACAAGACTAAATACCGGAAGGGGTAATCACAAGACGAGACACAGCCGGGCAGGGGAGGAGAAACACAAGGGCCACAGGAGAAAACAATCAGACAACTAGACACACCAGGGAAACTAACGACAGGAGGAAAAACACAGGAAGAAGGACCAGACAATATACAAGGATGAAAATACCCATAACCAGACATACAAAACTACAACACAGACAGATCCTAACAAAACTAGTTTAATTTGGTTAGCCTAATGGTCTTCACAGCTTCCTGCTGAATATGAAAGGAATTCATTTTGGTCAAATGTAAAGCTCAAAACTGTTCTGACATCTTGGTTGATGTAAGTGTTAGTTAGGGTGGTGGCTGTTGTGTAATTCATTACATGGAAAAGGGAAGTAGATGATTACAATTTCAGTTATTTCACTTAGAAGTGAAATAACTGAAATTTATTTCAGTTATTTCTAAAGAGAGAACTCTCTCTCTCTCTTTAGACTCTGTTGCCTTCTATTGATATAAGGAACATTCCCTAAACTATTTAAAGACATGTGACATTGCTCTTAATAGTAATACACATATATGTTTATATTTTAACTTCATTATGCAGACTGGTAGTAGTAGCCTATTAAGGCAGTAACACCATATGGTTATTTGTTATTGATCATAATTTCTACCTGAAATGTTAACATTGGGAGCAGAGATTTTACAGAATAATCCACGAACAGCAGTAACGCCTCTGATTGTCAGTAGGGGGAAACCTCACACCGTCTGATACTGATCATTAAAAGTAGAGTCTTTGATGAAAATGAAAACAACAAAATGGAAGTTTACCTTATTTGAATATCTAGATCTAGATTACCTTTAGTAAGAATACATAATGTTTGTTGAATTAGAGAACACAGTGATGCAAATAAGCACAAAACACGTACAGACCTTTATTAGCCTTACTTACTTTTATTATCATGAAAGCAATATTTAACTTCATAAAGTACCACAACTGGATTGGATATATAACAACACTAAAAAGACTTTCCATAAGAACGTATTGCAAGCAAACAAGCAAAAAAAGACCTATATATGACATTTGAATCACATGAGAAAAACAACAAACTATCATGCACATGATTCAATCTGAGTTCAATACTAACATTATATAAATGATCATGATTGTAATTTACAAAGAGTGAAAAAATGCAGGCACCTCGACTTGTACTTGAACTGCGATACAAATGCAAAACAACACTAACAGACCTCAAATAATAACAACTCATACTGAGCTGCTGAACTGTGAACACATTTAAGTACTTTTAGAATAAAAACAGCAGATTATTTCCACTCCCTTTCTTCACATGCTTAAAGACGATGAGAGACGACCTGAGTTGAACTTCAGATGGCTTACATCTCAACCATCACAACAGACTCGTCTTGATGTTCCCTCTCTGGACGGTAAGCAGAACCTTCAGCCTTCTTGTAGTTATTTTTCTTCCAAGCAAAATAGACGGCAATCCCGATTAATGCAAAAACCACCACAGCTGCCCGCACACCACATACGAGCAGGGAGTGATCAGCTGGGATAAAGAGACACAAAAACAACATGTCAAGTTAGTTCTGTGACAGGAGAATTCATGTTTACTATTCAAGAACCGTCTCTGCTGGAGGAAGAAACTGCTTATTGGAGGGTTTGTGGACACATTGATATCACTCTCCTATATACCCACAGTGGAAGCCTTATGTTTGTGGTAGGAGCTGTAATAAGACTCATTATTACTTATGGAGACACACAAACAAAAAAGGGGGGAATCACTTTAATAATCCATTGTTGCAGTGTTAGTTGTCATTTACTAATGTACCATGGGTCATCTTCAGAGAGGGGGGTCACAGTTTGATTCCAGGATGTGATGTTAGTGCAGGGGTTAATTGACACTGTACTCTCCTTACCCGCAGTGGAGGAATCTGGTTCAACACACAGCATAGTGTTGGCTGCAAACACCCACTGTGGTATCTGTCTCCCATTTGAGGTGCAGTTAATGAATATGAAGCCTGTGGGAAAGAATCAGATACATGACTGATGTGTAGTTAATCTCATGTCTTATTCATCAAACTGTTTCAACTCATCTTCTCACCACAGTTAGAGATCTCCTCTCCTTTAGAGACCTGACTGACGTTATTCCTGACTGAGCAGGCCACTGCTCCAGAGACGTGTTGTCTCAGAGTGATGCTGTTAGTCTCAGTATTTACAGAGAGGAGCTCAGTGTCTGTCAGTGAGCGTCCACCCAGAGTCCAGTTGTACTGAGGACTGTCCCCTCCCCCAGAGGAGCAGGAGACCCTCTTCTCTCCCTGGGACAGACACTCAGAGGCCAGCCGGACAGAGGACACAGGAGCTGAAGAAAACACACTCTGATGACTTTTCATATTCACACCATCTAAGTCATTTTTTGTAGTTTTTAGTACAGAACAGACAGATATATTTTAGACTTTTTAAACTTTGTATGTATCCATTTGACTAAATCCCCCAGTAGATAAAAAAACGTATTTACCTTGAATGGTCAGTCGTAGAGCGCGATTCTCCTTGATTTGTATGCTGTCACGGATTTCAAGTTTATATTCAGCACGGTCAGTCCTGCTGAGGTTGTTCACCCTAAATGTTCCATCACTTGGATTAAATGAGGATCTGCTTTTTAGCACATTACGCACAATCGTATTGTTTATCACAGTAAGTATTACTGTTGTAGATTTGTACAATAGGTATCTTTGTGTTTCTAAGGCCCTGTCCATCAGCTGGAGGACCACAGTTCCTCCCAAAGGACCGAAGCAGTGAGCTCCATCCTGTCTGCCGTCACAATAGGTTTCCAGACCTGGAAATACAAAATAGAAACATTTAAAAAAAGGTTTACAATCAAAAACATCAAAAATGTAAGTTTTGCATTTCTACAAAAATATTGAGTTTTGTAATTCTTTAAGCAAATACTGATCTGCTGCGAAAAATAAGTATTTCACTGGTTTCCAGACAAAGGTTTGTGAAATACTGTATAAATATGTTTAGCAGCTGAACTGTTACAGTACAAATGCTTCTGTACAATATTTGTGCTTAGGTGAAGTTAACCTCACCCAAACAGGAACTTCAGTTTTAAATTATTGGGAAGTTACCAACGTTTTCAAAATTAACACATTATTTTTCAGTATGTTTTTGGCAATGTGTTTGAACTAATGGAAAAGAGCCATCAAACCTTGATGTCCAAAAAGATATCTAGCGTATATAAATTCTAAAGGTGTGGCCATCAGACCATGATATATAAATGTTTACTGTGGATGTAAGCATTCTGTTTCTGTAATCAAGTACCAGTACAAGGAATTAACACATATATTTTCTTAACTTAAAGTAAGCTTTACGAACATTGTATGTGGAATTGAGAAGAATATGAGTGGAAAATGTCATTAGGTTGAATCAGTTACATAATAAATTATGTTTGATTAATACAAGATTGAAAAACTATCAATCATAGTTATTCTGTTAATTTTTGCATACGTTATAATTAAACGGTTGAACTGTAACTGTATGCCTAACTTAATGCAGACAGAACAAATGTTTTTGTTGCAATAGAGCCATGAACAATATGTGAAAGCAAAACATTTCACTGAACAACCAGTGCAAAAACGTTCCTCCGCTCGTCAGTTTCTTTAGTTGTTGAATTAATTGTACAGCCTATTGTGATTAAAATTAGGACTTAGAAATTATTGTCGAATGTAAATGAGAAAAAAATGGTGTACATTTGTATCAGAAAACAACTATAAAGTCCCACTAACTACCATGAAACAACTGGTCCTTAGACAAGACATAAAGTGAGTGAAACCAAACTCAGCCTTTAGATGTCGTCAAACATGATTCAATAATAATACCAACAAAACCTTTTAAATCAACTACTTTAGCCATCTACTTTCTTGTGGTCATTAAATGATTTTATTTATTTAACTTTCAGTCAAAGCACTAATGATGTTACTGATGAAGTAGATGATTCAACGTTCAGTTATTTCACTTCTCTCACTCTTTAGAATAAGTCGCCCTCCATTGGCAACTATTGATACAAGGCAAATGCCCTGAACTGAGAAACCATGTAAACTTTACGTGGTTTCTCAGTTCAGGACATTTGCCTTGTAAAGACTTGAGCCTGTAGACTTATGACATTGCACTTGTAATAACACACATATATGTTTATATTTTAACCTCATTATGCAGACTGGTAGTAGTAGCCTATTAAGGCAGTAACACCATATGGTTATATTTAATTGATCATAATATTTTCCTGAAATGTTAACATGTTGGGAACAGAGATTTTACAGAATAATCCACGAACAGCAGTAACACCTCTGTTAGTCAGTAGGGGGAAACCTAGAGTCTGTGATGAAAACGAAAACAACAAAATGGAAGTTTACCTAAATTGAAAAATGTTAACATTGTGGAGCCGAAACATCTGATTACCTTTAGATAGAATACATAATGTTTGTTGAAATAGAAGTCCCACAGTGATGCAAATGGTCAAAACCACTTACAGACCTTTATTAACCTTACTTACTTACTTTATTTTTCACATGAAAGCAATATTTAACTTTATAAAATATCACCACTCGATTGTATATATAACAACTATAAAAAGGGAAAATACTTTACAATAGAACGTATTGCAAACAAGCAAGCAACAAATATAATCACATGAGAAAATCAACAAACTATTATGCACATGATTCAATCTGAGTTCAAAACTTTAATTATATCAATGAAAATGAACATGATTCAAAAAGAGTGAAACAATTCAGACTCGACTTGTGATCACATTAACTGTAGACACAATTCATTACCTTTGTTCTGTGAGAGTAGTGATACAAATGCAAAACAACACTCACAGACCTCAGATAATAACAACTCATACTGAGCTGCTGAACTGTGAACACATTTAAGTAATTTTAGAATAAAAACCGCAGATTATTTCCACTCCCTTTCCTCACATGCTTAAAGATGATGAGAGACGACCTGAGTTCAACTTCAGATGCCTTACATCTCAACCATCACAACAGACTCATCTTGATGTTCCCTCTCTGGACGGTAAGCAGAACCTTCAGCCTTCTTGTATTTATTTTTCTTCCAAGCAAAATAGACGGCAATCCCGATTAATGCAAAAACCACCACAGCTGCCCGCACACCACATACGAGCAGGGAGTGATCAGCTGGGATAAAGAGACACAAAAACAACATGTCAAGTTAGTTCTGTGACAGGAGAGTTCATGTTTACTATTCAAGAACCGTCTCTGCTGGAGGAAGAAACTGCTTATTGGAGGGTTTGTGGACACATTGATATCACTCTCCTATCCATAAGTCTTAGTTTTCACAGGTTTCTGTAAAAAATAAATAAGACAACTACAACTCATCCAGAACGCTGCTGCCAGAGTCCTCACCAAAACTAGGAGAATTGACCACACCCCCCCAGTTCTCAAAAATCTGCAGTGGCTGCCTATTACACAAAGGTTACACTTCAAAATCTTACTTTGAACATACAAAGCACTTAATGGATTGGGAACAAAACACATTTCAGAGATGCTTCACTGTTACGAGCCAGACAGAGCTCTCAGGTCAACAGGAGCGGGTTTACTCCTTGTCCCCAGAGTCAGAACTACATTTGCCGAGGCAGCTTTTAGTTTTTATGCACCTCAAGCCTGGAACAAACTGCCTGAAAATCTAAAGTCCGCCCCAACCCTGTGTTCTTTAAATCAAGGTTAAAAACCTTTCTTTTTAATGCTGCCTATCCTGAGATTCTATAACCGTGCCTTATCACTGCACTTTTAACTGCAACAATTATTTTATCGCTTTTTTTAATTGTCTTTTTTTGTTTTGTTTGTTTGTTTTGTATTATTATGTGTTAAATGCCTATGTGAAGCACTTTGAATTGCCTTGTCTTAAAATGTGCTATACAAATAAACTAACCTTAAACCTTGAACCTTGAACCTTGAACCTTAGTTTCTATGTTTGTTGTAGGAGCTGTTCCAAAACTCACAGATATAGAAATAACTCTAGGGGGTTTATGGAGATAAACAAAGGAAAAAAAGGGGGAATGACTTTAACAATCCATTGTAGAAGTTTAACATTTCCCTAATCTCTTGGTGTGTCTCCTTACCCACAGTGGAGGATTCTGAGATGGTGGTAGGAGGTGTTGTTGGTTCAAAACACAGCATATTATTGGCTGCAAACACCCACTGTGATATCTGTGTCTCATTTGAGGTGCACTTGATGAATGTGAAGCCTGTGGGAAATAATTAAATGAACGACTTATGTACTGTTAATAATCTGTGTCATAATAAATAAACAGTTGTTCACTCATCTTCTCACCACAGAAGCGGCTGACGTTATTCTCGACTGAGCAGGCCACTATTCCAGAGACGTGTTGTTTCAGAGTGATGCTGTTAGTCTCAGTATTTACAGAGAGGAGCTCAGTGTCTGTCAGTGAGCGTCCACCCAGAGTCCAGTTGTACTGAGGACTGTCCCCTCCCCCAGAGGAGCAGGAGACCCTCTTCTCTCCCTGGGACAGACACTCAGAGGCCAGCCGGACAGAGGACACAGGAGCTGAAGGAAACACACTCTGGTGACTTTTCATATTCACAGTAACACCATCTACAGTAAGTCTTTTTTTGCAGTTTGTATTACAGAACAGACAGATATATGTTGAGTTTAGAAATACAAACTTTGTTTGCGTGTCTATCCATTTGACTAAATCCCCCAGTAGATTTAAAAAAAAACATATTTACCTTGAATGGTCAACTGTAGAGCCCGTTTCTCTTTGATATGTATGCTGTCACTGATTTTAAATGTATATTCAGCACTGTCAGTCCTGCTGAGGTTGTTCACCCTAAATGTTCCATCACTTGGATTAAATGAGGATCTGCTTTTTATGGCATTCGTTACAATCATATTATTTATCACATAAAGTATTGTTGCTGACGATTTGTACAATAGGTATCTTTCTGTTACTAAGGCCCTGTCCATCAGCTGGAGGACCACAGTTCCTCCCAATGGACCGAAACACTGAGCTCCATCCTGTCTGCCGTCACAGTGGGTTTCCAGACCTGGACATACAAAATAAAAACATTAATAAAAAAAAAAGGTTTTAAAATCCAAAACATAAAAAATATAAGTTTTTCATTTCTACACAAATATTGACTATTAAAATTCTTTAAGCGTATTTAAATACTGATCTGCAGCAACAAATAAGTATTTCACTGGTTTCCAGACAAAGGTTTGTGAAATACTGTATAAATATGTTTAGCAGCTGAACTGTTACAGTACAAATGCTTCTGTACAATATTTGTGCTTAGGTGAAGTTAACTTCACCTAAACAGGAACTTCAGTTTTAAATTATTGGGAAGTTACCAACGTTTTCAAAATGAACACATTATTTGTCACTGTGTTTTTAGCAATGTGTATGAACTAATGGAAAATAGTCATCAAACCTTGATGTCCAAATATTTGCTGTGGATGTAAGCATTCTGTAGCTGCAATCAAGTACCAGTTCCTCCTTGTCAGTTTCTTTAGTTGTTGAATTAATTGTATTTCTGGTGGAACAGCTTTGTAATTTTGGTTCAAATTATTATTCAGAAATGATTGTCATATGTAAATGAGACAAAGAAAGCTTCAACCTCATGGATCTATGCCAGTGAATGAAGATCACAGCAGATTTAGAAAATTGTCGAATCCTATTTATGTTATGTATTTGTCATGTTTCATGAATTTGGGCCCAGGGTGGTTGAAGAGTTAAGGATTGAATATTGGTACCTACACAAATCTTCATTAATCATCAGAAATGTTGTGCGTCAATTCAGAAATGATATCTCAAACCAAAATATAGTCTCCTATCACAATATTGATGTAATACTAATATATTCTTCAGCTTTAATGTAAAATATTTTGTACTTAATCTAGTTATAAGTTAAAGATCTGACCGTAAGAGGCTCCGAGCATCATCACCAACACTCCGATCACAGCCTGCATGTCTCCTCAGTGTTCAGCCTCTGGGGACCCAGTCTGCAGCTCACACTAAACTCTAAACTTTATACTACAGCAAACATGCACATACTACACAGAGCAGCCTGACATGTCTTCTGTTAGTGGTCAGATTCAGATTAAAAGCATCTTACTTCCTCATTTATGTTGAGAACATTCTACCGTTATAGCCTAAACGATACCATGGCAGGACATGGTGTCACTGCTCTAAAGGAAGTTAAACAAAGTGTCACACGAAACACTGACCACTAAGACCTGCACTTTGGTTCTATTATTTTGTCCATTATGTTCTGCCTTTTCCTCCACATTTGAGAGAGAATATAAATAAGTTATGATTGAAACAGTACCACAGGGTGTATATACAGAGTTTAACATCTCAATAATGAATAAGAAATGAGAGAACACTACAATCCTTGACATAAAGTTTTACTGTGACAATAACTTTCAACTTTCTCACACTATTTCTATATCCAAAGAAAAAAATGGTGTACTTTTGTATCAGAAAACAACTAGGTCCCTCTAACTATGAAACAACTGGTCCTTAGACAAGACATAAAGTGAGTGAAACCAAACTTGGCCTGTAGATGTCGTCAAACATGATTCAACTAATACCAACAAGACCTTTTAAATTAACTACTTCAGCCATCTACTTTAGTGTGGTCTTTAAATTATTTTATTTATTTAACTTTCAGTAAAAGGACTCATGATGTAAGTGATGTTTTAAGGCTTGTTTATATCAATAAGTACACTTACTGTTAATAACTTGCAACTTAATTCAAATGTACAGCATTTAATTTACAGCAGCATCCTCTCATTATGTAATAATTCCAGTAACAATAACTCATTCAAACGAGTATTAAATACATATTTTTTGTAATTGTAAATCAATGTTTATTTTTATTTTTTTATCAGAGCTACAGTGCAAACATTCAACTTTCATATTATGTACCAATAGTTTGCCATGAGGGAAGGGCAGCAAAATAAACAGACAATGATATTGAAACATTTTTTTAAAGGATGAAAAAAAAACCTGGTACTTAAACTAGATAGATGATCTCACATAATTCTGCAAGGTACAAAGAGATTTTCCAGCACCCAAGTCATGCAAAGTAGGGTTCAATCTTAGGGTCCTCACTTGTCCAGTGTTGATCTTCAGTTAGTTTTAAACCAAAAGCCTTTTTTGTCCTTTTTTTACCTGAGGAAGGAAAAAAGGCAGAATAATAACTGTAGTTAAGATGGCTGAAAATGAAATAGCCTCAAACTGAATCTGTTCCTCTTTTTTGATAACAAACAGGCAGAGGAGGGAGAAGTACTCAGATATTGTACTTGAGCATAAGTAGAAGTACCAGAGTGTTGGAATATTCTGCTACAAGGTAAAGCAGCGTTCAGTTATTATGCTCCAAATATCTGGAACAAACTCCCAGAAACCTGCAGGTCCGCTGCAACTCTGACTACTTTTAAATCCAGGCTGAAGACTTTTCTTTTTGTCGCTGCTTTTAATTGAACTATTCATATTTTAGACTGCACTGTAACTTTTATCCATGTACTTTTTCTTTTAATGTTTAATTGAACTATTCATATCTTAGACTGCACTGAAACTTTTATCCATGTATTTTTTCTTTTAATGTTTATTTTATTAGCTTTTCTTTTTAATGACTGATTTTAAATGCCTTTTTCTTAATGTCTTTCATTTTTTGTAAAGCACTTTGAATTGCCTTGTGTTGAAAAGTGCTATATAAATAAACTTGCCTTGCCTTGCCTTGCCTTGCCTTGCCTTGCCTTGCCTTGCCTTGCCTTGCCTTGCCTTGCCTTGCCTTGCCTTGCCTTGCCTTGCCTTGCCTTGCCTTGCCTTGCCTTGCCTTGCCTTGCCTTGCCTTGCCTTGCCTTGCCTTGCCTTGCCTTGCCTTGCCTTGCCTTGCCTTGCCTTGCCTTGCCTTGCCTTGCCTTGCCTTGCCTTGCCTTGCCTTGCCTTGCCTTGCCTTGCCTTGCCTTGCCTTGCCTTGCCTTGCCTTGCCTTGCCTTGCCTTGCCTTGCCTTGCCTTGCCTTGCCTTGCCTTGCCTTGCCTTGCCTTGCCTTGCCTTGCCTTGCCTTGCCTTGCCTTGCCTTGCCTTGCCTTGCCTTGCCTTGCCTTGCCTTGCCTTGCCTTGCCTTGCCTTGCCTTGCCTTGCCTTGCCTTGCCTTGCCTACAAGTAAAAGTCCTGCATTCAACATGTTACTCAAGTAAAAGTGTGAAAGTATTGCTATCAAAATATACTAAAAGTACTCATTGTGCAGATTGATTGTAATTATTATCAAAGCTGGTAAAGTTGCAGCTAGTTTTAAACACTTTGTGCAGGGTAGCTTGTGAATTTACTCGAGGTGTTACTAAAGTCTTATTTAAGAGTTGATTGTATTCCACAATCACTAATCCAAATCTGCAAAGTAACTAAATAAATGTAAACTACTACACCTGCGACTCCTGTGAGTGAATGTAGTGGAGTAAAAGTACGAAGTAGCATAAAATGGAAATACTCAAGTAAAGTACAAGTATCTCAAAATGGTACTTAAGTACAGTACTTGAGTAAATGTACTTAGTTACTTCCCACCTCTGCAAACAGGTGAGTCTTACCTGACTTCTTACCGCGCCTCATTTTCCAGCAGGCGCAGCAACACACCCCCACTATCAGTAGAGCCCCGACTGTACAGCAGACTATGATCACGATGTGCAAAATGCTTTCTGGGGAGAAACAAACCACATCAATAATTATCCAAACTCACAAACTTTAAAGCATTCACATGTTTGCATTTGTTGGTTGGTGGTTAGTGAAACTCTATTTTGACCAAAATTCATGATAGGCTCAAAATGAGAACAAGAAAAGTTGATAAATACTGAAAGTTCCCTTTGAAGCACAGCCAGTTCCTGTTGTTGTCACGGCACCTTTCATCAGCCCCCAAAGTATATTATTGAAATGAATAAATAAGTTCTAACTAAATGGAAAGCTTACCTTCAAGAATTTTCTCAGGAATTATTTGCTAATGTGCAAGGCCGGACTCAGTTATATTTTTATAATTTTTAAGTAGATTTTGAGTCATTTGTCATCATCGAATGTCACAGGAATGAGGAGGTTAAGAAGTTCTTCGAAGACAATTTCAAGAAGAAACACTACACCGCACTATATTATCAGATATAAGGCATACAATAAATATTACAGTACAGAAGATTCTTAAACATTCTCCTTTAATCTTCTATTCTTCCATATGTGGGTCCACTGGGTTTTGTATTCTCCCTTCCCCATGATGATTACCTTTTGTAGGTACTTTAAAATAGTATACAGAAACATTAAAGCATAAATAAGCTGGAAGATAAACACTTGCCTTGAACAACCAGTTCAAAATTGACGTTTCTCAGGAGGACCCCGTCGTGCTGAAAGATTTCCACATTGTACACCCCTGAATCATTCCTCTCCACGTGTGTGATCTTCAGGGTCCCATTGTTGATGAAAAACTCCGTCCTGTTTTTTAAAGAGTCATGTATTGTCACTCTTTCTTTCTTCAGATTGAACACAATTCTGGGCCCGGTGGGAAGCTGTCTCTTGCACCCCAGCCGATGGCCGCTTGCATTGTTCATCACTTGGATGGACACAGATCCTCCGAGGATAGCAGAGCACTGAGTCGTGTTCTGAGAGGCCTTACATTTAGTCTCAGCAGCTGGAAAGAAAGCTAGAAAAATGCATAATCAAATGAAACCAGATTAATAATTCACTTTTTACATAATATTATAATGTTTCTCTAAAAATGAGTATTTTACCATGTGATACTCCAGCTAACATCACAAGAACAAGAATAGCAGGATCCATACTCATTTTGAAGATTACTGAACAGAGAATGATAAACCAATCTCTGTTAAAGCCACTGAAATCAAACCTCAGATTGTTTACAGACACTGGATGGAAACAGCAGGCCTACAGGGGTGGCGGTTTGATGCCGGTTAAGAAGGCAGGAAATGAAGTTAACTGTTTCACTTCTCCTTGTAGACACAGGTCTTTCATGCTACCCCACAAAAGCAGGTTGCAACAACAAGGCAGGGGAGTTAAACTGTCAAAAGGGAGAAAAAAAGGGCGTTTTCACTGAAATTACATGATGAGATTTTTTGTATTTTTCAAAAAATATAACTGCCAAAACTTTAACTTCCTGTATATAGTGTCCTATGTTTACAGTTTTTAGTAGAATGTAGTCTTTATATCTAATCTAAATTCAACAGATGTCATAAAGTGAATTAAAGTATATACAACATTTTGACCAGTATGCAGTTTTTTGCATGTTCTTGTGTTGGACATTAGTGTGCCAATCGTAGGGAAAACTTGCAACATGTGAAGAAATCCCATATGTGAAACTGAACCTCGGGTTTGCCTTAGCTAACACCCTTTGTCTGTGATGACAGTTTCAGCATGTTTTAACAACTTGGCCATGTATTTCTTGATAGGCTGGGGAAAACGGAAGTGGAAATTAAACCTACACGGAGATAGGTGCCTATGAGAGACAAACTGCTAAAACTATTTTATAAAACAAAAAATCCTGACTCTGCACAGAGATGAGGCTTATATTTGACAAAAGAGGCCAGAGATATGTCAGTGCCTTTAATCAACAAATTGTCATGATCACAAAAATGTCTTATAAATCTACCTGTAGGTTAGGGGTAATCTTAAACCCTACATGCAGAAGGGCATATTTATACATTTCCTATCTGAGCTCCAGATCAGCAAACACTTGTGTGCACACATTTCTACATACACATTCGCACATTTGCTGATATAGCTTAACAAGCAAACACAAGAATACAGCTTTTTATTGGACCTGTGTTTTATGCTCTTTTGTTATTGTTTGTTGGGCGCATGAACCAAACCAGACTGTGCAGAGGAACAATAGATCATATTGCTGCTGTGAGCTACTGTTCACATCCAATACAGTGCAACATTACCATTTAACTTTTGGAGTCACGAAACTAACGAAAGTATGCAACTTATGTCACAAGAGGTAGTCATCATTTATATTAATTATTGTTAAAATGGTTGAAGGCGATTTTTCCTTGTAACCACTTCATCCAAGTCAAATACAGCGATCCAAGAAATCCTCTTGTCATTCTGACACATTTGCTAGAATCTTATTGGAAATAACTTTCATTTATGATTACAGAATATTCTATTTAGGGACACACATTTGTTTATTCAAATGGATAAAAACATGTGTACTTATTTTAGTTTTTTACATCAATCAGTTGTTTTAGAGAGCCTGAATATAAACCTGCAACTACAACTAACAGCAGTTGGATTTGCAGAAGTTTGGTCCCTTTGTCAACAAAAACAAAAACACAGTGTCAAAAAATTCCATCAAGAAAGCCAAACAATCCTTTATATACTGTAACTATCCTCTAGGAGTGCATCCTTTGCCCCTTTTTCAGTCATGTCCTTTATTATATCCTGTTGGACATCATCCTAGTGTTGAGTCTCCTGAAAAACGACCTGCTTTTGGACATTTTCAGCTTCTTCTTCCAATTGTTCTTTTTTTGGTAGACAGTATCCCATCGTTCCTCCTCCTCATCTCCTACCCAAGGCCCCCAAGCACCTCCATTGAGTTGGGGGTCAGCCCGAAGGTCCTCTGATGGATACCTTACTGGCACCGCAGTGCGATTGTAGTACACCAGTCGAGCCAGCAGCTCTTTCACAACATCTGGTCTCTGCTCAGAAAGGTCTTGGCGCTCGTAGGGGTCTCCGGAGATGTTGAAAAGCCACACAGATTTATTGGGTTCAGTGTGGCGCTCCAGGTTCCACCAGCCGGCGGGGAAACCTGGAAGCACCGGTGGTGGCGTCCAGTCTCCGTAGCCGGGGTCTCCTGTTAGAAGTTTCCAGTCTCCAGCTCGTATGGAGGCCTGCACAGCTGTATTCCAAATCCCATATCCTTTCTCCAGGGAGCCGCTGCGGGCATGGTTATATAAAGGGTCAATATTGTGGAGGATCTCCAACCGGGGGGACTCTTTCCCTCCACTGATGGCTTCCCAAACATCATGGCCATCCACCCCCTCGGTCAGGGACTCATTTCCACCTGCTAATCCCACCAGTGTTGGGTACCAGTCAGTGATGTGCACCAGGGCTTTACTCACCCTCCTCTTCTTCCTCAACAGAGGACTGTGAACGAACCCCAGACCCCTGACACCGCCTTCCCAGTAGGTGCCTTTACGTCCTCTGAGGGGCCAGTTACTGCCGCCAGACAAAGGCTGGCCCCCGTTGTCAGTGGAGAAGATGATCACACTGTTCTGGTAGTAACCATACTTGCGGAGAGCGTATGTTATATTACGTACTGCCTCATCTACAGCTGAGACCATAGCAGCATATTTCCTGCGAGCCACATTTTCCATTCCACGGTATGGGTAGATGTACTCCCGTGGAGACTGCAGGGGTGTATGAACAGCTTGGAAGGAGAGGTAGATGAACAGCGGCTGGGACTGAGGATCGTTGGTCGCCAGGATCTTGCGGACTCTCTGTGTGTAGAGGTGTGTGGAGTATTTGCCCCTCTGACCCCAGGCCACCGACTCCCCCTCGTGCAGGTCGAAACCACACCTCCCGGGGCCGTCACAGGAGTCGTAGGTGTAGTAGTTTACACTGCCTGTTAAGGAGCCAAAGTATGTGTCAAAGCCCCGGCGAGTAGGCAGGCACTCCTTCTTGTAGAAGCCCAGGTGCCACTTGCCGACCATGTGGGTGGAGTAGCCGAGCTCCTGCAGTCTCTGGGGGAGGGTGACCTGGTCGAAGGGCAGGCAGTTGGGCTGGCGGGGCCGGATGATGGAGTGCTGCAGGCCAGTGTGGATTTGGTACCTGTAGGGTTTAAATATTAAGAAAACTGTCAGAGGGACTAATGTGTTAACACTCAGAAGGATGGGACAGTAAGTAAGAGTAAAGGGTAAGGACAAATTACTTCAAATAAACAATTGAATGAATCATGATTCTCAGATCTAATATTGGATTGATGCTGTAAAGATGTTTAAGTATTTCCGCACTATCAGACAAAATAATTGTATTTTGCACAATAATAAAAAATAATAGTAATAATAAGAGTAATAATAATAATAAGTAAATATGATGCTATTTTATGGCTTTGCAGTTATGCAGGTTTCAAGTAAAACAAATCTAGCAGCTTTACAATAAAGATATGTCGGTGAAAAATAGGGTATTTCCCCTGCAGATGATTTGATTTTATTGAAAAACGGTTGAAGAAATCTGGTCCTAACAGACAACCACAAGCAACCTTGAGGTCAAAGTCTGTACCTGCCGGTGATGAGCTGGCTGCGGGACGGGGTGCAGATGGGCTGGATGTAATAGTTCTCCAGCTTCACTCCGTCTGCAGCCAGTTTATCCAGCGCCGGGGTCCTGATGTCAGAGCTGTGGTAGCCGATGTCGTTGAACCCCTGATCGTCCGTCATGATGAAAATGATATGAGGAGGCTGAGGGACAGGTGAGCTCTCGACAAAAGTGTGGTTGGTCTCGTTTTCCACCTGGTTAGGACCCATCATGTCCCAGGTCAGATACCCGAGGCTGAGCAGGCTCATCATGGAGAACCCGGTCAGAGCTGTCGTTGCCATGGTTCCTTTATTTCAGTCAAAATAGTAATGTAAAGTATGTTGTCAGCAAATCATCGTGCAGTAATGCTGAGGGGACAGTTTCATCAAGTAATCCTCTGGTCCAGCTGTC